CCGTGCCTCTGTACTCCAGGTGGCCTTGGGACTTGGACATGCTAATTGCCACCGTTACTGTCCTGCATTCATTGTTTTATAACTGGGTAGGCAAAAAACACCTTCTGGCTATGGCAGGAGTCAAGGGCCACGGATAAGACACGGGTTATTGGGTTAGCAAAGGGGAAGGAGAGGGCCTTGTGGCACGTGTCAGTCTATGGCAGCATAGTTCGGCTTCCAGGAATAGAACCAGACAGTCCCAAGTGTCCCCATGACGCTGCCCTTCTGGAGTATTCAGGACCCCCTACCTGCTGTTGGGATGGGTCACATTAATCTGCAGATGATTATGCCAAATTGCCAGAGTACAAGACCGCCCCAGCTGCTTCCTGCCCGGGGCAGTGTCTGGCAAAGCAAGTGCTTAGAGGGCTTTCAGTTCTGAGAATTCAGGGCCTCCCCATACTAGGGAGGAACAGCCAGGTAGGAAATGTTTGTGAAAGGGAAGTCAGAATTATGATGCGCTGTGTAGGGGGTGGCACCGTGTCGTGCTCAGTACAGTTCTGGTAGTGCCAATCTGCCAGTCTTTGCATGCGGCTCGATCCAGCCAATCCCCCTCTCAGAAGGCTCCTGGCATTAGGGTATCTGTGCATCCATGCCACGTTGCTGTTTGCATTTCCCAGGTGCACAGAAAAACGATGGGTCATTTACCCATCACTTCAGCTGGGCAAATAGGTGGTCGTGAAACACTTCTCTTCCTGTGACCCTCGTGGCTGAGCCGTCTGAGTTGGAGGTGCGCTTTGCTCCCAGTCTCGCCACTGTGGGCCATTTCCAGTATTTACTCTGTTCTGCTGCCATCTCCTGCCAGAGCTGAGGATTCTAGGCCAGGACGAATTTACATGTGGAAACCAGACACGCCATAAATCCATCTCCCACAGCCAGAGGAAAAGACCGAGCCCAGGATTTATCCCTGAAGGGGTTTGACGCACCTGAGTACACTATACAGCCGTCACGCTAATTGGACACTAGCCCACAGAGATGTGTAATGCTGGTAGCAGACAAGCAGCCATTGAACTGCACACACACAGGGGCGGGAAGGTCTAACTGGGCTATGGGGGATCAGGTGCTTTGACACTACCATGATCTGCTTGATCTTTGTACCCCGTGCGCTCTTGGAACTTGTTACTGCTGGTGCCTTCACTTCCTCAGGGCAGGAGCTTGTGCCTGAGACACTTCAACAGGGACCTGTGGGGCACAGAGTCACTGACCTTATGAATTGAACGGATGCACTAAAACCGAAGTTTTGTGAGTGGGACCTCATTCCGTTTAGGAAGAGGTAGAATTTGTCCCATCTGCCAGACCCGTTCAGGCTGCCAGCCCCTCTGCATGCAGCATGGAGGGTTTTAACTCGGTGCATAGGACTGGCCAATTCAGAGGGGTCTGTCTAGTCCAGGGGTAGGCAACCTATGGCACGCGTGCCGAAGGCGGCACGCGAGCTGATTTTCAGTGGCACTCACACTGCCCAACTCCTGGCCACTGGTCCGGGGGCTCTGCATTTTAATTTAATTTTAAATGAAGCTTCTTAAATATTTTAAAAACCTTATTTACTTTACATACAACACTAGTTTAGTTATATATTATAGACTTATAGAAAGAGACCTTCTAAAAAGGTTAAAATGTATGACTGGCACGTGAAACCTTAAATGAGAGTGAATAAATGAAGACCTGGCACACCACTTCTGAAAGGTTGCCGACCCCTGGTCTAGTTCAATCTCCTGGTGGCCAGCCCCACATGCGTCAGAGGAAGGTACAAGAATCCATGCAGTAGAGCAGGCAATTATGGAATGTGACCTTAAGGAAGGTTTTCTCCTGGTGCCTGTTAATAAGGGTATGTCTACATTGCACTTAGACACCCACGGCTGGCCCGTGCCAGCTGACTCGGGCTGTTTAATTGCAAGGTAGATGTCCAGGCTCGGGCTGAAGCCAGGCTCTAGGACCCTGTAAATAAACAGCCCTGCAACCCGAGTCAGCTAGCCTGGGCCAGCCACAGGTGTCTAATGGCAGCGTCGACATCGGAGGCTGGTTTAGGCCCTGAAAGCAGGAAGGTTTAGGTGCCAACCAAAACTCTTTGGGTGGTTTTGCTCTTTGTTACCGTAAGCCTGAAAGTTCTTGTTATCCACATAAATGTCCAACCCTTTTCTGAGTCTCGAAGTTCTCTAAGCTTGGCAGTTTCATAGACCAGTGTACTAGGTCTGGGGCATTTTCAGGTGTGCTGTTGGAAGATTTGGACCAGAGCCACTGCCAGGTGCCAAGTAACGCCCGTTACCTGCTGCCTTGCCCCGTTTAGACGAAACATACTATCCCCGCTACCAGGCAGATTTTCTCAAAGGTTTTTTATGCAGCATAAAAAGCATTTTCCTTGTGCTAGAAGCTAAACTGTGTTCCTAACCCAGGCGCTGCTCCTTCAAACACTTGTGCATAACCCGAACTATACTTATGTCAGTGTCTTCAATGGGACTACTCATGCCAGGAAAGTTAAGCACATGCATAAGAATTTCTAGGAGCAGCGTTGAAAACTGGATGCTGCCCGAGGAGCTGTGTTGTGTGCCTCTGTGGCGTAGATTGTTCGTTTATACACCCCTAGTCAGCTCATAGAAAACTGTTTTCTCCTGTTTAAAAATAGTAGAAGCAAGCGTCAGTAGCAGCACAAAAACCAGCCAACAATGAAACAAAGCAAGGGAATCCTGACATTCCCCTCCAAGATGCATGATTCCCCTGTGCAGCTTGTGGCTGGTCTCTGAGATGGGAAGCCAGAGAGAATCAGAAACACCACCTGGATCAACAAGGCTTTCCTCTTGAATGCAGGCATGTCCCTTTCAAGGCAATACGGGGGCTTTCGTCTTTATCATACGACTTAAATGTCACGAGCAATAGGACCCCCATCATTTTCCTTGGGAGACTTTCCCATATGTCTCTGTCCGGAAATCTTCCCTGATATTCCCATGTCTACAGTAACGAGCTTACAACAGTACAGCTGTACTGACAGGAGAGAGCTCTCCCGTAGACATCATAAAACTGGCTCCATGAGCGGCGGTAGCTATGTCAGCAGGAGAAGCTGTCCCACCAACATAGCGCTGTCCACACCGGCACTTCTGTCGGTGTAACTTATGTCACACGGGGTGGTTTTTTCACACCCCTGAGCAACGTAAGTTTTACCAACAAAAGTGCTAATGTAGACATAGCCTTACTTTCCCAGAGCTGCAGAAGAGATCTGTGTAGCTCGAAAGCTTGTCTCTTTCACCAACAAAAGTTGGTCCAATAAAAGATATTAACCTCACCCACCTTGTGTCTCTCTATCATAGACCTCTTAGCCACCACGTAGCCAAGAGATGCAAATGTAACCCTTTTAGGGCCCAGTCCTTCCAAGGCAGAAGTAGTATTCACATTGACTTCAATGTGCTTTGGCTAAACTCTCTCTCTCTTTGGTCAGTCAGTCTCTGCTGCTCCCTGGGCATTTTTTATTTCCTCCCCCCAGTTGCATCACACTCTGCTAGTGAAGCTCTCGAGACCAAGTACCTGATCCCAGGCAGGGCCCCACACTGAGAATTCCCAGGTGCTTTCTGCAGTCACAAGTGAGGCAGATGTGTGGCCAGAGCATTTACACTATAGTGATTGGACTCTGCTTTCTTTTCCATATATAGCAGCTAGAACACGTGTGTGTGGGCACAGGTGCAAGTGGACGTGTGTGTAGATGCATGCATCCGGGTGTGTGAGTGTAGGCATAGATCCCTTGTCTGTACAGGAGATTTCTCTGGTAAATGACTAGTCATAGCTTTGCAAAATCACCTCCGTGTTTTATTAGTACAAATCTGACACTCATGATTGTGAGCAACAGATGCCAGGCAAAACCACAAGCTCTCTGCCCATCTTCATATACACACCTCTCCCCACCCTCAGTGCAGGCCAGGTGCTAGCCCCAGGGGCCTCCAAGTAGCTAATGAAGTCTCAGAGCTTGGCTCTCATCTCTCCCTACCCACTCCTTCCCAAAAACCCTTGTTTTCAAAAATCCCAGAGCAGTTTATTGCTCTCGTGCCCCAAAGAGTTTGCATGAGTTGAGGGCATTCTCGGGCCAACTTCAGTAGTTGAGCCTAAATGTGCCCAGCTCCCTGACTCTTAGCGCAGGGCAGCGGGAGAGCACCACTGTGGAAAAAGGTCTAGCTCCTCCCACAGTTTCCCACACAACCTCAGCTGGGCCCCTCACTCCTGGGGAGTGTTAATCCAGCTTCCCCCGGCTGCTTCCCATCAGCCTCGTCCATGCTAGAAAGAAGGGGTGTCAGGTGGGAGGACTCCCAAGGACACTTGGTGTGTGGGTGTCTGCCTGGCACCAGGGAAATGTGCAGGGGCAGAGAGTCCCATGTGGCGACAAGCCCCTTTGTAATAACCCTGCTGGGAGTAGAGTCTCCTGGGCCAGTCAGCTGGGCCCTGTGCCTTCCCCCCTCTCCCCAGTGAAGGACAGACCAGTGCTGAGACCCTGCAGGTTCTTTTAACATGGGGTTGGACCAGTGTGACACAGCCAGAGCCCGGGCATGGGGCCCTTCTTTGTACAGCCCTGGCAGGCTGTGCCCTGGGGAAAGCCCTCCGCCTCCCTTTGGAGAACACTCAGATGGTAGACACAGACAGAGACCTTGTAGGTTTTTCTTGTCCGTCTCATGCTCCAGAAGACTGGGTAGGATAGTTCCCTATAGTGTATTCTCCAGGCCTTTGCCCAGCAGAGCTGCCCTGTCCGGTCCTTCCCGGACGGGAGGATGGGAGCCAGAGCAGCCTATTCCCAGGATAAGGTGCCACCAATAACAGCACTCCTAGAAAGGGTGGGGCCGGATCCCACTATGGCATCCCACTGCACTGAAAAGTTTTGCAGAGGCCAAGGCACCACCGTAGCTATTCCCACGGCACTGCTGCAGTTCCAGGACCAAGCCTGCCTTCATTTAACTGCATCACCTTCTCCCCCTTTCCTTTGGTCTCTAAAGCCAGCACCAGCCCCACGTCAGGCCTAGGGACCGCTGCCATCGTGGGCATCCTCATCGTCATCTTTGTGCTGCTCCTGGTGGCCGTGGACATCACCTGCTACTTCCTGAACAAGTGCGGCCTGCTGATGTGCATCGCGGTCAACCTGTGCGGCAAGTCCGGGCCCGGGGCCAAGGGCAAAGACATGGAGGAGGGCAAAGCTGCCTTCTCGTGAGTAACCTCTCTGCTCGCCTCTGACCTGTTCTTCCATCAGCCAGGAGCTCCCTGGAGTGGAACAGCCCCCGGGTACAACACCTCTACCCTCAAATCCAGGCCTGTAGCCTCAGGTGCCAAGTGGCAGCCTGACGGGGCCACACGCTCCAGCAGTGCCTTGAGGCTGCTGCCCTTCCCCCAGGAGATTCATGCCTCCCCACAGCATATTCCAGCCACAGAAGAGGCTGCATTTCTGGGGAAGCCGGCGTTCAGGCTGGCTCCAGCTGTGCTGCTCTGGCACTGCGTGGGGGTTACTGCAGGGAGGGGATTTGGTTGCTCTGCTGTTTCTTCGGGAGGGGTTTCTTCTGGGGGTCCCCTGTTTTTTGTCCCATCCTCCTCCAAAGCCAGCATCAGGCTGACCTAGAATCCAGCAAGCTCAGGTGGAGGAGGTCCCGTATCCAGGTGCCATGTCCTTGTCGGGGCAGAGGGCATTGTCTATTTAGCATCCCAGGGTGGCTCGGGGGGGAGGGTATGAGCTACTCACTGACACTAGGCACTGCCATGGTCCTTGTTTTGGGTTTGGGAAGGGGCCATGTGTCGGGACTGAGAGCCAAGCCGCTTTCCCAGGCCAGCCCCACCCTACCATGTGGACAGTTGCTGCTGGCAGCCTGTCCCTCCCACCCCCAGGGAAGGGTGCTGGTTTGAGGCTGGGAACCACTCACCCAAGCTTGCAATCTCCTTTCAGAAAAGACGAGTCGAAGGAGCCCATTGTGGAGGTGCGGACTGAGGAGGAGCGGACCCCGAACCACGACGGGGGCAAACACACAGAGCCCAACGAGACCACGCCACTGACGGAGCCTGAGTAGGTTGACATTCGGTTGTTCTAGCGCACGGTCAGTGTGGCCCCATCTGCCACTGTAACCTCTGGCCTCTCGCGTAGGCGACCCAGGCAAGAGAAGGAGAACGGTCAAGGCTCGGGGCTGGGTCCCTGCCCTGTCACAGTGAGGAGCTCCTCTCTCCCTCTGCACCGTTTCCTTTGTAATATTTACAAAGAACGAGAACAAAGCTTTGGGGCCAAGTGCTTTCCGTGGTAGAGCACTGTCACCCAGCCCTGCTCATTGCAAGGGCTCTGGGGCAGATGCCCCATATCACACTGCCTCCCGGCGGCGCGATGCTGTGCCAATGGCTAGTTAGTGCCGCACCCATGATACCGCCTCGATGCCTACTCGCCCCGAGCGAAAGGGCCTCCTGGAATTGATAGCGACAGAGCAGCTGCGCTCTGGATTTGTGCCAGATTTACAGCTGTGGTGGGAGGCATGTCACAAGTTCTGACATCCCTGCCTGCACATTGGGCCAAGAGGGGGTTTGGGAGTTACCCCTGGGTCTCATGTGCACCAGAGAAATTAACCATTTGGGCATGAGCCATGGTTTGGTGCATCCACACTAGCCAGGATGAACTAGATTTGCCCAGCATCCAATTTAGCACTGTTCTAAACTGTGGTACTTGCAATGGCCTCTCGGCACCTACTCCATCATTCCCGGTTCAGCTCCCAGAAGCAGTGCATGTTGGGAGATTTCAGAAGGCCACCAGTGTACTGTGTGGCAGAAATGGGCAGAGTAGTTGAACCATATCTACTTGTTTGAATCCACTAAACTGGCTGCGAGTGGACTGGTTTATCCTTAAGCATTTATTAAACCTGCTGGAAGATGGCCCATTCTAACTGGGTATTGGACCATCTCTGTGTATGGATGCAAAGTGTCTTACAGACACTCCTGGGCTCCATGGAACAGGACATAGATATCATCTGAGCTCTCCAAGAAGAAATAATGTCTTTGTCCAGTTAATTTTTTGGCTCTGGTTTGGGGTTGACCCAGCAGGTTTCGTATTTTCTCGCTGGGTTGTCAGAGACATTGGGTCTCTGAGCTTCCCTATCCGTAGTGTTGCTCTCTTCTCTGCTGGGGTGAGAAGTGAGAATAACTGGTGCTATGGGCTTTGCTGACAAACTGGGTGTCTGGGCCTGGCCAGGAGAGAAGCAGGAGCCATGTTTTATGCAACAGAACTGGCCTGGGGATGTGCTCTTGCTGTTGAATGTGTTGAGCTTTCCTTGGGTTGCTTTGTTGAACTTTTAATGAAGTGATTAACCTTTATGGAGGTTGCCCCCAATTAATAAGCCAGCGGTGGTGGTGTCGAAAGCGCTGGCTTCTCACTCGATTAACCGTTGTCTTTCCAGCAACGTCCCCTCCCCTCCTTCCCTCCTCATTAAAGCTTCCGGCTTCAGAAAGGCTCCCATCAGTAAAGCCAGCTAGGCTCCACCATGGCGGCCAAAGCACGGTTTGTGCTGTCACACATCGTCCTGAAGTAATGCTGACCCTAGCTGGAACCAAACTAAAGACAGACTTAGTCAAAAGGGAGGAAGGTGCTGGCCCAAAGTGTGTGGGACTCATACTCCGAGGCTGGATGAAAGTAAGAGGTGCACAGATACCAGAGCAGGGCTAAGGCAGGAAGCTTGGACCCAGGGCCCTGGATCAGGACCAGAAACATTGGTGAGGCCAAGGTGTGTTACTGGCTCTCAGGATTGGGGCCTCAGGAGCAGGAGGAAGACAAGGGTCCACGGGGATGTTGGGGAGGAGGCTGAGGAGGGAGGCTAGGTTAGGGGAGAAGGGCCTCTCTACAGGGCATAGGTTGGGGTGAAGTTTGGGTTAAGACATGATGCACAAAACGCCATGCGAGCAAGCTGCTCCTGGAATGCCATGTACTCTCTGCTCTTCCTCCTCTTCCTCGGCGCTCTTTGATCTCCCCACTTAGTGCCTGCTCCCAGTGGCACATCTGGCCTCAGCAGGTTCCTCTTCTCTTGCTTCTATGTCCTCTGTGTGCATTACAACTGCATGCCACGCCGCTGCTGCTTGCGCTGCACCGTCTCTTGCCTTTCCACTCATTTCCCCCCTATCATTTATGGGCTTCATTGTCTATTTCTCTTCTACTCCTGTCCTCCTCGCAGGCACCCAGCTGACACTGCCGCTACGGTGGAGGACATGCTGCCTTCTGTAACCACGGGCACCACTAATTCTGACACTATCACCGAAACCTTTGCCACTGCTCAGAACAGCCCAACCAGCGAGACCACCACCCTGACTTCCAGTATTGCCCTGCCAGCCACCGCTATCCCTGACTCAAACTCCGTGCCGCCCAGCCAGGCCACTCCGGCCAAAGGGGCAGCCACCTCAGCTTCCTCGCCACTGTCCTCCTCGGCCCCCAAAGTCGCCCCCCTGGTTGACCTCAGCGACACCCCAACTGCTACTCCGGCCACTAGTAATTTGTCTTCGAGTGTCCTGGCCAACCAAGGGGCAGTGCTCAGCCCCAGCACGGCCACCAGCATGGCTGAGGCCTCAAAGGCGCCAGCTGGTAGCAAGCCGTCCGCCCCAGTCCCTGCAAACCCCTCTAGCCCTCCAGCTTCTTCAGAGCCCAAGCAGGAGGTGACAAGCACCAAAAGCCCAGAAAAGGAAGCTGTACAGCCCAGCATGGTGAAGAGTCCAACAGAAACCGCCAAGAACCCAACTAACCTGAAGAGCGAGGCTGCCTCAGGCAGCACCACAAACCCCTCCCAGAACGAGGACTTTAAAATGGACGAAGGGACCTTCAAGACCCCAGACATTGACCTTGCAAAGGATGTTTTTGCAGCTCTTGGCACTACTGCTCCTGCCAGTGTGGCTAGTGGGCAAGCTCGCGAGCTTGCTGCTTCCACTGTAGACAGCTCTGTACCGCTGGCACCGGCAAAGACCGAGTATGGCTGCCTTTAATCTTCTGTGGGTTGTGTGCTGTGTGTCTTGTGCATTAGTGCTGTGTTCTCGTTGGATGTTCTCTTAACTAACCTCATTGTTTCTCTAGCAAACTAACTCACCTGTTAACCACTACAGCAGGGCCCAGCACTAGGGAGGCCGGGTGAAAGGAGAAGTAGGGGGCCCCTGGGTGCAGTGCAGACAGGTGTCTAGTCCACAGGGAAAGATGAAGCCATGAATTAATAACGTGTTATTGTTTAGGCTTCCCAGTAGCTCCATCCTGTTCCCGATTCTGTTGGGAAAGGGCTCAGGATCGCTTCCTTGTGGCAAAAAGGGGCCTGATCCTGCCAAACAGCGAGCTCCTGAAGTTCACTGGTGACAACAGACCAAACTCAATTTCACCAATGTAAATCCAGAGCAGCTCAACTGGAGTCACTCCAGTTTTACTCCATTGCAAGGCAGAACCTGGCCAAAAGGGGAACTGTGGGTGCTCAGTACGTTTCAGGATCAGGCCCTACATTAGCAAGTTCCCTATGAAGAAAGACCTGGGGCAAGTCTGCCTGTGGCACCAGCACAGCTGTTTGGGGCTGGCCCATTTGGCCTTGTCTCATCCTGGTGAGCCAGTGATGAATTTCCCTCCATCCAGTCTCCCCTCGGCTCCCACAAGCGATTAAGAGAGAGCCACTAAGCCTGTAGGCAGGAAGGGACAGCCTCATTCCATCTGAACGGGATCCCCTCCCACCTGCGGGCATCACCCTGTGCCTTGCGTTTGGCAAGAGACACTGCGCTGCTGGGAGTTGCAGACAACTTTGGCTGCAGCATTAGCCATTCCTGGTTTGTTGGGGGCGGGGGGGTGATGTGGGGGCAGGTTGAGCGAGGTGGGAGGATAGGGCTGGCTCAGCCTGGACGGCGGTTCCTGGGAGAGCCTGCAAAGCAGAGGCGTGGGGAGTACTCTCTCCTGTTCAGGGTGTTGGCACTGTCTGGGGTCAGCACAGCCTTTTGGCTGCCTGGTTGGGTGCCGCACATTGTCAGAGACGGGATCAGATGAAGGAAGCAACCACTCCTTCCCAAATGCCATCGGGCTGGTGCCCTCCTGAGGGAAAAGGGGTTCTTGTGTTGGAAGAACAGCTCAGATTTGTGGGAGCCGCTGGTTTGATGCGACACCAAGCTGAGTCGTGGATTGGCTGGAACTTCCCCCCCCCCCCCCCCCCCCCCCCCCCCCCCCCCCCCCCCCCCCCCCCCCCCCCCCCCCCCCCCCGTCCTTTCCCAGGAAAAACACCCCTGTGCTCACAGCTTTGTGTATTCGCACCCACAAAGCCTGGCACCTCAAAGTTTGATTTCAGTGCCGTTCCTCTGGCGTGGGCGGTACTCAGTCAGGTCCTAAGCGTTCTGCAGGCTGCAGGTAGTTCCTGCCAGAGCAAAGCCAACGCATGTGCTGCTCCATAGTGTTAGTTAGGTGCCTGGCTCCTCGTGGCTTCTGGTCACCCCATCATGCCTGCTGTGCTGCTTCCATCCACTAACATGCTGGAGAGTGACTGTCCAGCAGGACAGCATGTGCAGCCTGCCACCCACGGCGCAGCAGGTATGTTCAGCCTGGGAGGTTCAGCAGCACAGCAGATGCACTTGGGCTGGTCTGACCACACAGCTGTAGTGAACGAAGCTAAGTGACTCCGTGGCAGAGGAATCCTTGTTCCCTTATTTATAGCGCAGTAGTGCCTATAGGCCAGGGCCCCGTTGTGTCCGGCCCCTAGCACCATATAAGGAAGAAAGTGTCCCTGGCCCAAAGAGCTTGCCACCTAAGTGCTAGGAGGCTGTAGCGTGTGCTGCTGGGAGTGACATGAAAGAAGCTCAGGGGCTGCATTGCCAGCAGCGAGTAGGCATTTCCACCTGCAGCCCCTCTTCCCACTTGCACACGCAGAGAGTCCTTCCAATCCGGCCCTCTGCCCACTGCATACGAGTCCCAGAATCCAAGGTAGAAACTAAAAAGCGTCTCTGCAATGTACCTTTTTGGCATCAGAGTATTCTCTTCGCTTGGCTAGTCTGTCCCTGGCCGGCAGGGCTATGTGAGGGGAACCTCTGGGCAACTTCACGGCCTGCATCCTAGACTCTGAGAGGAAATCTCTACACTTCAGATATCCCCATCCCTAGCCAGTCACATCAGTAACAACGACCAGGCTGGTCCACAGCTCCAGCTAACAAAGTAGCGGTGGTGAAGTGAACCCAGGAAACTTTCTCACTAGCTAGACCCCCTCAGCTGGAGATGCCCCGTGTGCTGTAAATGTACCCCACAGCCTGGCAGGAGCAACGGATGAGGATTGCTTCCATCTGTGGAGACCTGGTTTCCAGTCCTGCTTGGCTCAGTCTGCTTTGCAGCCTCTACTGGTGGCAATAGTGTGTTGTGGCCTCTCCCGCACATGCATGTTGTCCCCATTTCCCTGGGGGATGGGGGAAAGGAGAGCATGCATTGGCTTTGTTGGAATTTAGACTCATGTTAGAGAAATACATCCCAGGTCCAGGACCGGTGCAACACTAGGCGAACTAGGCGGCCGCCTAGGGCGCCTAGTGGTTGAGGGCGCCTAAAAGCCCGCTCAGGCGAGGAGGTGGAGTGGAGGTGAGCTGGGGTGGGGGTGGGCGGGGAGGGCCGCCTGCAGTAACAGGGTGGGGCGCACAGGGGAACCGCACCCTGCCCCAGATCACCTCCACTCTGCCTCCTCTGCTGAGCATACAGCCCCTGCTCTAATTCTCCTCCAATCGGTGCCACAAGCCTGGGACGGGAGGAGAATTAGAGCGGTGCCGGCGTGCTCAGCGGAGGAGGCAGAGCGGAGGTGAGCTGGGGCGGGCTTCCCAGGTGGGGTTAGCTTCCGTGTGTGTGGGGGGGCTCCCCGGGCGGGGTTAGCTGCGGGGGGTGGGTAGCTGCTGCGGGGGGGGCTCCTCTGGGGGGGGAGGCGGGGGGGGGGGTTGGCGGGGGGGGGGGGTGGTGCAAGGTGGAAGTTTCGCCTAGGGCGTGAAACTTCCTTGCACCAGCCCTGCCCAGGTCACAGTTTTCAACGTGAAAAATGTGAACTCATTGCAAGCAGGAAGGATCTGAGGCTCCCAAGGAAGCCAAGGTAGATTTTGCTCAAATCCAGAAATCCCCCACTGCTTACTCTTGTGTCACAGAGTTAGGGCCAGATCATCAGTCTTTACTGACATTAGCTTGCACTGCTGGAGGAGGACACTCACCGAGTGAGCACCCAGGGCTGGCTGAGGGTGAAGCTGGGGTGCATGCATTGTACCAGTCTCCCCTCCCCCAGCAGAAGAGCCCCTACAGGACCATTGTAGCTGGTGTACATTGAAGTAGCCCTGTGGCTTCTCTAACTAGTTGGGTCCCCTTGCTGGCCCCAGGAGGTTGCACTTGGGGCAGTTGGGAATTACAGCCCTCGTTTCTGAGGATGTCAGTCTCAGAGCTGGGAGGATACATTCCATCCCTTTTTCTCTCTGCCCATCTATCGTGGTGTTCTCAGATTTACTCTCAGAATACTTCCTCCAAGAAAAAAGCCCCCACTATTAAAAATTCAACCTGTTTTGATTGGGCACTCCGGTCACATGGTAGTGTTTCTGTCCTTTGATTGGACGGGGTGATTTGTAGCATCAAGTTTCCATTGCAGATGCACACGGCGTTTGCATTTCCTGCAAATGCTTCTGGCAGCAGCCTGGTTCTGTGGAGCATTCATGGAAAGCAAACCCCAAGGGGATGGGAATGAAGGCCAAGCAAATGTATTTCCAAAGCTGAAGGTCTTTTGCAATATTCCCCCAGCTCTAGTCACGCTGCTGTAGAAGGTGGGGTGATGCTTTGTATGGAACATCTGGGAGCCATTCTAGAAGTATATCGATCCCTTAATCCTAGCACATCTAAGTATATAAACCAATCGATGGCCTCTCTCTAAACTGTGCTGTTTTGGTGACTTTTCCACAGGAAAACCCCCGTAGAAGAAAAATCTGAGGTGCAAGCAACGGAACCGAAGACACCTCCAGCAGAAGTCAAGACGGTCCCCAACGAAGCCACACAAACAAATGAAAACGAGAGCAAAGCATGATCAGCAACAGAAAAGAAAAAAATGACAGAACAACTTCACCTGAGCATTTAAAACACAACACACATCTCATTCCTCTAGTGTCTTTTGCCTTTAAAAGAAAAACAGACAAAGTGAAAAAATGCATAAATGAGGATCTCTTTTTTTTTTTTTCTTTGTAGGTTTGTAGGAAGGTTCTATTTGTTGTGCACTTGCTTTTAAGGAAAAATAAAATAAGTTTTTTAAAAAAAGGTTGATCCCGCAACCAGATCAGGGCTCAATGAGCCCTGCATATATTCAAACAAACAAGGTCACAAACATCAGTTGCAAAATGGTTAGGAAGCTCATTGGGGTGGGTGGGAAATTAACCCTGACTTTTCTTCGGTTAGCCTAGCAGAGTAAACAGCTGTACCATCAGGTACAGCCAGTACTGAATGAACAAAGTCCACAATTTATTTTTATACTTTTCAGTCGAGTTTGAAATATGTAAAGCCTCGTAAATAAGTTAACGTTTCTGTTCACTTTATATTTGTTCAGTAGGCAAAGTATCTCTCGCCCTTTGTGACTGAATCCAATCTCCAGCTTAGACAGTTATTTGGGGGGGTATTATTATTATTGTTATTATTTTTAGGAAGAATGCCAAAATTGCAGCTTCGGGGATATATTTCAATTTGCAGTATTCAGACTTCTACATTTTTTTTTTAATTTTATTTTAAATCTTTTTGCCAACTTTTGTTTTTTCCAGTGTTTACAATCGACAAATGTTTTTTTTACTTTTGTTGTGTTTAAATGTACGTGTAAAATAGCTGCCTTCTTTTTTTAAGTAAATACAGTCTATAGATATTAGATTTACTAGCATGCTTGCTTTGCAAAGGGAGACATTTTAAAATATGGATGTTTACAATAGTTGTTTCCCCTTTATCTTTTTTAATTATTATTATTATTATAATTATTATTTCTTACTGGAGTAAGAAGATAAGTAACACCATTCATTTTACTTTTGGTGGGTGGACAACTTGTCACCAACCAAGGTCTGTGTCTAGCAATGCATTTAAGTGCATTAACGTTAAGCATGGGCCTAGTCAATGGAAATACTAGTATGCTTAAAGTTAAGCATGCACTTAAGTCCTTTGCTGGACCAGGGACCAGCTGCATAAGAGAAATATGTTCTCTGCTTTTCTTAGGCCAGGTCTACACTAACCCCTAATTCGAACTAAGATACGCAACTTCAGCTACGTGAATAACGTAGCTGAAGTTCGAAGTACCTTAGTTCGAACTTACCTCGGTCCACACGCGGCAGGCAGGCTCCCCCGTCAACTCCACAGTACTCCTCTCGTCTAGCTGGAGTACCGCAGTCGACGGCGAGCACTTCCTGGTTCGACTTATCTCGTCCAGACAAGACGCGATAAGTCGAACCCAGAAGTTCGATCGCTCGCCGCCGAACTACCGGGTAAGTGTAGACATACCCTTAGACATTCTCCCCTGTTCCTTCCAGGAATCCTCCCTCAGCTCTGAGAAGCAAAAGGGAGTTTGTACAGTCAGGGCTGGTCTAGTCTCGGTGAATAGATGTTTGAATAAACCAGTTCCCCATTTTTAGAAAAAAAAAAAAAAAAAAAAGGTAAATAAATACTATTTTCTTTTACCCTAGGATTTAAAAGGAAAGAGCTTGTGCACTTCAAGAAACTAGTATCTTCTTTTGGGGAGTAGAAACTCTAAAAAGTCCTTTCATTCACTGGGGTGAAATTCACCAACACAAGGTGTATGCACCACATTTATGGTCTGATCCTGTAAAGATTTAACTGCGTGATTTGATGCTCACTGAGTAGTCCACTCATGCTTTACCGGATCAGGGCCTCAAAGACCTTATCCGAAGCCTCTTGACATTGATGGACAGGCTACCATTGACTTCATTGGCCTTTGGATCATAGCTGTAGTGCTCAAAATGAGGCTGATGGGTGCATAAGCTTTGCACAGGGGTGAACTTCGCTCTTACGGCAGCATCAGTGACAACTGCTATTTGGAATCCTAGAAAAACTGCAAATTTTGGGTGAGAAAAAGAGCGAATGAGGGATGGGGCAGAGGAGGCAGAGAGGGTGGTTGGGGAAAGACCAGCCTTTGTATAGAAATTTTCCCCCTTTTTTGGTTTTTATTTTGTTTTTAATTTTTTGTTTTGTTTTCCATTCTACTTTAGATCTGCAAGCTTGTGCACTGTGGGCGCGTGAGTATTTTAGTGTGAAACGTGGTTTTTGTCATAGTATTGAAATAATGAAAATAAAAAAAAAAACTTCAACATAGTTTGGATGTGGAAGGTGTAGCGGATAGTTCAGATAAAAAAATTATTCAGGAAAATAAATAAAGAGAATAAGTCTTATAAGGAACAGAAGCCTTTAAACGAGAAACAAACCAAGCTGACTACAGCATACATTCCTTTGTGCTATGGTAATGAACAAATGAAAGAAGATTTTGGGTGGGGAGACTGCAGTTTGGCTCAGCTACATTGAACCACTCTCTTCAGTGTACTCTTATAATGACGCAGTCTTTAACAGTGGCATCGCTAGATTATAATTTCAAACTGTGAAAAATAATGGTCTTGTCATTTGCTAAATGTGGGGTTTTTTTTGCATTTTTTTCTCAGCTCCTGGGGATGGAAATGGAGGCTATCCGTGTGTGTGTATCTATGTACACATGCACATGCACACTCACACAACGCCCATCCTTAACATGCCACTAGGATGGATGGATGTTTGATTAAACATCCTGGACCAAATCTGACCCTTGCTTATCCCCATCGGAGCAGCATGGGTGTAACTGGGGGGAAGATTTGGCCCATGGTCCCTAAGAAAACATTTTTTTAAGAGATGGATTGATCAAATGTGGCATGAAAGGCCACCATGGCTTCTAGAGAGGAAGAGTCCACATAGCCATGGGGGAATTGATGAGTTGGAAGAGAGAGTGTGTACCTCAGTTCTTAATGATTACCAAGAGAATCTGTTCATCATTCGTGTGAAGTTGTTGATGGCTTTGACTTGCTTTGCCAACTATATTCTATACCTCATAAGTTATTACCCCTTGAGAGCTGAGCAGCTGTTATGAGGCAAATACTGCACAATCCTAATGATTAGATACAAATCCATTGACACTGGTCAAGGTCTGTTTGATAAGTACTTGGACTTGTGATATGGATACCTAAATTGGCATTTGTCTCGAATAGGAAACCAATTCAGAGCCGGATCCAAAGCCCATCCAAGTCAATAAGAAAGACTCCCGTTGACTTCCGTGGGCTTTGAATTGAGACTCATGAAGTGGACATCATTTCTAGATATCAGCAAATGCTGTGTTTACTGGACTAGTTGTCAAATCCATTCTGCCCTTTTTCAAAACTGACTTGAGATTTCTCAACCATCAGTACTTGCGTATCAACTCTTAAAAGCATTTTTATACTTCTCCATAACCAGAGAATGTCATTTTAATTTAGAAATATTCCACTTTTCTGAACTAAAATAGTTTAGTTTTCATTATTTTTTTTTAATCTTTGAAGAGGGACCAACCTGACACCGTTTACATTGTATATATTTATATATGTGTTGTTGCCATACATATATATTTATATAGCCACCGAGACTGATCAGCTTCTGGTAGTGGAGTGATTGCATTTCATGTTGCACCATACATACAATACCAAGACAACAGCACATCCAATTGTTCAGCTTTTAGACTGGAGTTTTATTTTCACACTTTTATATGGAGCCTTCGGACCCCAGGTTTTCGCAATAGGCTGTTTTGATAGTGGTTCTCAGACCCTCCATTGACATCCCTACCCAGCATTCCCTACTTTTGGGGGCCTTCTATCTTGTTATAAAAAAACAAAAAACTTTTTACCAAGTGAAACATTGATACCACCTTTATTTCCATTCTCACCGGTGTAAATACTGATACTAACGGAGAATTTTGACTTTGCATTCTGTCAGAATACTTGTGTTCAAATAAAAATTACAAAAAAAAAAAAGCCCACTTCTTAAGTCTAAACTTTTTGTTGCCCGGTGCGTCGTGTGTCCAAACATAGGCCCACGAGATCCTTCCTAGTGCTTAATATTTGATCCTTCAAGGGGTTCAGCCACCAACCTCTGTTGTTACTAGCACAGTGGTGACAATAGGGACTGTGAGTTCCGGTTAAAAGAGGGGTCATCTTGATAGTGGAGTGGAGACTGAGTAAATGGATCACTCGATGATTCCCTGTTCTGTTCATTCCCTCTGAAGTACCTGGCCTTTGCCACTGTCAGAAGGTAGGATACTGGGCTAGATGGAACTTTGGTCTGACCCAGTATGGATGTTCGTTAGCAGAGAAGGATTTGGATCTGTACCATGTGAGAGGTGATACTTGTGGGATGGACTCTCCCAAGACCAGCTGTTGTTCCAATTCCTCACCGTTGCTGGAGGCTCTTCTTCCACCTCATAGACCGCTTGGTAAAACACTCAAGCCCAGTCACAGAGGAGAATATTTTTAAGGTTGGTTCTTTTCAGCCCCTAATTCTGTCCCCAAGACATTTAACATGGAAATGCTCATTATAGGTATGGGTTTAGAGTGAGCTGGAAAGGTCGTGAGCCAGTTCACCAACCATGCACATACCTGGGTAGGTGTATGTTTTAAACAGCATCCTGAGTCACAAACCAGCATTTCCCAGGTGTGGGGTCTGTAATTCACTATGTCTGTTAATGATGGAGAATGCAGCCCTGTCACGCAGAATCTTCCAATTTGCTTTCCTATGGGTAAAGTTAACTCTGCTCTCCTACATCTCATTTCTCAGAACAGCTCCAATGAGCAGCAACTGGGAGTCCTTTGCCGACAGAGTGTTTCCTATGGAAATTGTGCTATAATTTACCTTGCCAAAAGTGTTTCTACTAATGCATTAGATGCAGCTAACTACATGTAATTCAATCCCCAGATTTGATCTCCAGGGACACGGGGGTAAGAGGGATTAGAACTCTGATTTGTATTCGTACCTGGGTGCACAAATTGTTCACAAAGAGAAATACAATAGGCAAGAGTCTGATCTGACTCTGCTTATTAATGCATCACAATATCCCTTTCTCCTCTGTTTGCTTCCTTAAGGTTTGCTTTGATATTTCACACTGCAACCTGCAGGGAGGCCGTTACCCTACAGATCGCATAGGTTGGCGGCACGATGGTTGTTTTGATGGAGATATTTTGATTGGTTCCATGTTCACTGCAGGTGATGCGGCCAAACAGTGTCCTGGCAATGACCCAGAGGAACAGTCCCTCACAGCTGCAGCCAGACTCAGTGACGAGGCAGCTTGTGAAACGACAACTACTTCCCAGGCTCCTTGCACTTTGTACGTCTGGATTGCGTCCCAGCCTGCAGCAATATTGACTTATTTCACTGGTCATTTTGATTTAATAGTGAATTAAAACCGCGTGTGAGGAAAAACATGCAACATACAATGAAGCCACCGGTCAGGATTTTAAAAATGGAGGCCTGAAAGACCATATTTAGGCACCTGAATCAGTGGGCAGATTTTCAAAAGTTCCAAATCCCCAGCAGTCCCTGCTGGCTGGAATTTTCAGTTTTCACCTATATGATTGATAAGCATAAGACTCGTTGACTTGGACCTTGTGCTCCTAACTCACCTCGGGGGTTTTGAAAATCCCACATTGATTTTAGTGGGCGCCTATCGTGTTCCGGCCATCTGAAAATCAGGCTGCTTAATTTAAGTGCCTAAAGATGTAATTCGGAGCCTGGTTTTAGGCTTCCATTTAAAAAAAAATAATCTCCGAATGAGTCGTAACAATCTGCTTTCCATCTGTGGAGAGCCATTTCCCCCACAATCCCAGCTCAGGGTGGGACAATTTGTGCTGAAGAAAACTCTTTTATTAATATTTTACCAGCTATTATCACCCCGATGAGTTCCTCTTCCTGAGTGTGTTACACTACAGCATGAATTCCAGCTAACCCCAGGGTTACTAGGGAAATAGCCTGACAGGCATGAACGCATTCTACATAGGAACTGATGAGTCAGGCATCCAGTGAAGAGCCGTGAGGACCTAGATGTGACCATTTAGTGAATGGCGTACAGTGTTTTTTTATTACGAAAAAACTCCCTATTATGTAAGCAGTATCTCGCTAGCAGCCACATAGCATCAAAATGCAGACATGTGGGAGGAAATACCACTGAAGGATCCTGTGGAGCGTAATCGATAAGGGGGGGTGCGTCAAACACTTTA